CTCTTTGCCTCTGGCTTGGATGAATTCATTGTCTTTCAGGAATGTCGAGTCATCCTGCGATTACAAGAAAGTAGGACCATGGGAAGTTGAGCCGCAGATAGGTTTTATTGCCTGGAAAAAAACTATGCACGTCATATTTGCCAGAAGAGAGATGGATCTCCTTGGCTTTATCTTGCCACCACTGATTTTTCATTTCCTGGACCCTCCTTTGAGCTTCAGGCTTTGAGGAGCTGATAAGTATTGTTCTTCTGCCGAGATGAGGTGTCATCTTGCCAAGCAGAATAAATCCTTCTCTTCCAGTTAAGGAGGGCTTGGATACTGGTGTCACGCTCGTCAACCCAGTGTTGTTGTTGACAGGTGGTATAGCCAATGGATTCAGCACAGGTATACGGACAACAGTTTTAAACCCCTTCCAGAGTTTCTTAGTGTTGCTTTCATTTGTGGGCAGGGCAGAGATCTTTCCATGGAGACACTGTTAGAGATCCTTACAGACCTTCAGATCTTGAAAAGATTTGTTGCTGAGAGTCCTTCACATTGCTTTTGACTGTTTTGGGGGTTTTGAGGAAGCCAGATGTTCACAGTGGATCCAACAAGACTGTGATCTATCCAGCAGCCATCAGTTCCTTGCATGGCTCACATGACATAGACATCCATTCGATCACAGGCTCTAATGATAAAATAGTTGAGGAAGTGCCAGTACTTAGAGCAAGGATGTCTCCAGGTAGTCTTGTATTTGTTGCTCTGTCTGAAGATGATGTCCATGATGACAAGACCACGCTCTGTGCATTTGCTCAGGAGGAGGACACCATTGGAGTTCTCCACTCCTTTCTTCCCAATGGTGCCACTTTAGAGTTCCAGGTTGCATCCGACTCTGGTGTTTAAGTCACCAAAGAGAATGATCTTGGATATTAGTCAGTAAGTGGTCCTGGGTCCATGAAAAACAGCTGAATTACTTCCCCTCCACTGAAGTAGCTTTGCACTCTTAGTTTAAGTCTAGCATTTTAAAATAGAAATAAGATATATGAGGAGTAACACTATCGATACTGTGATATTGTTTAAATTCACCACACCCAAAAAAGCTGAAGACAACTTTGCCTCCCACGCCTAGTGCAATTGTTGCTAACATCACACCAGATCAATAGCAGAGATGAAGCACAGGCTAATAGCTGAAGCAAGGAACTTGGAAGTAAACAGCATTGGGATTTAGTCTAGATTTTGCCACCAGCTTCCTGTGTAATGATATAAAAGTCACTTAGTGCCCTCATGCCCCTATTCCTGTATTTAAAATAGGCAGATCAGTATGTTGAATCCTATGTGGAATAACATGAGGATTAGACAGACAGAAGTGACAATTTTCACCCAACCTGGCCACAGAAAGTGGTTTATAGCTGTGACCAAACAAGTGCATGGCTGCAGACCAGTTCAAAAATGGCTAATTGAGTGAAAATCTGACTCCTCATTGCACGAGGGGTCAGATGAAGATGTTTCAAAACAGAGCATCTTCTGTAACTTCTGTCTGCACTGCTTGCCAGCCTGTTCCTGTTTTCAGAATGGGAGAAGGAAAAGGGAGGGGAGGGAGTTCAGTCTGGGCTTTTTTCAGTCCCTGCTAGAGGGTGGGGTGGGTGTATTGGAGCTCCACCCCCCAGGTGTGGGAGGGGGCTCCAATTTACCCACCTGTCCCTCCAGCACCAGCTGGGGAACCCCTAGAATGAGCTCCCTCTCCTCCATTTCCTCCCTCCCATTCTGAAAACTTTGCAGCCTCACAGGGAGGAGAGCCATTGATAAGGAAAGTGGCTGTAGGCTGGCAGCCAGCAGCTACATTCGCCTCCCCTCTGGAATCAACAGTGAATTTCTGTTTGGTCCAGGAGGTGGTTGTAACTCCGAACACTTCCTGCAAAGCTTTCTCAGTTACAGCAGGAAGCTGCACTTCTGTCGGCACCCAAAATTATAGAGAAGCTGGGCTGGAAGGGTACAGAAATTATATTTATATTGACCTAACTAGTTAGGTTGATCTAAGTGACTAGTCATACAGATTACAAGGAGGTAAAAATCAGGTAAAAATGGTAGGTCTGATCCAAATTAGTTCACCTGAGGTGGTGTGCTGAAATTGGGAGCAGGTCAGCCCAATCTAGCGAACATCTGTACAAGTTGGCAGCATAGCCCCAAGGCTGGGAAAGCCCAGTCGTTTACCCTAGCCTCAGGGCTGCACTCTTCCTTCCCCTCCCGACCCTGACTGGGCTATTTTTAGACCCCTGACCCCGCCACCCCCAGATGGATGAATCCTCCACTCCAATAAAGGCTTGAGGATGATTGTCACAATATGCCTCTTTATTTGTGATTATTGTGCAAAGTGTTGTCTTTTTTCCCCAGTTCTGAACAGGTGCAATTTGTGGCCACATCTAGATGAGTGTGGCCATGCGGTATGTTCAATTGTTTTGCACATTCAGGTGTTCTCCACGCTGCAAGGGAGCAGTGCAGAGGGGGGGTTTTTGGCCCCTGGATATCCAGAGGTCAGAAAAACCCATGGAGAAAAAAAGCGGAGTGGTGCACACACAGGCAGTGCACACCGCCTAAAAACCCCAGCCTCCCCTACCACCCCCAGGGTAACTTGCCACACACCAGACCATGCGTGACAGATGTTTCCCAGGGACAACTAGCAGCGGCACAAGGTGCATTACTGCTACTTGTCCCCGGGGAACCAAATGTCCACACCACATGTGGACACAGCCTGTGGGTGCATCTACATGTGCAATTAACCCAACGCAATAAATAACAGCACAGTTCGTGCCAGAGTCAGCTGCTCCTGGGCGCAGCATCTTCATGTATGCCGAGGACTGCAGCAGTTTGAGCCAGAGAAAAGCAGCTCCAAGCTGGCAGGGGGCCTGAGGGGAGAACCCAGGCTCCGGGTAGCAGCATTAGGCAGCGTCAGGGCTGGCTGGGGCATGAGGGTGCTATAGTGTGGGGCTAGGCAGCAGTTAGCTCCTGCACAGTAGTAACCTTGTGTCCCAGTCAGCCTGTCACTGTCTACATGTGTGTTGCAGTGCATGTAATTACTCCACTGTAGGATAGTACTGTCCCTAACAGAACTATCCTATGGTGGAGTTAATTAATTTACTGCACACTAATATGGGCTCATGTATAGACGGTGACACTTTACTGAGGAGCTAATTAGTCAACTCTGCAGTAAACTGTACATGTAGATGCAACCTGTGTTCGATAGCTGAGGCTGAGGAGGTGAGATCTGCTGCCCTAATATCAGGACTAAAGGCTTGATCCAAGACAGTGAAGCTGACAGAAATACTTTGTTGACTTGAATGGGCTGTGGATCCAGCTTGCAAGCCAGGAATTCCCCAGCTCCCACTGACTCCCTCTCTGTTCTCGGGCCACTTATGGCTTAATAATAACCTACATTTCTATTTAAACTTCCTCTAATTCACATACAACACTGCCACAACTGCATTCAGCACTTGGTCCATTGTCTATTTCTGTTTCTAATGAAAAGTTTCTTGAAAAACCTCCCTTCCAAAACTTTTCAGGTATAAAACATGTATAACAACACTTGTGATACCTCTCTGCAGAGATGCCAGGATTGGTTAGCTGATATCTGCAAAGTCCTTTGAAGAATTAAGTCCTCTACACATGGTAAGATTGCTGCTCAGTGATCAACAGTTTTATACTAATGAGATCCCTGCATCAGTTTTTATCAAAAAAGATTTCACAGAGTCAGGTGAGTTGCTAACAAGGCCTGACTTCCGAGCATAAACTGATGCACTTTCCACTGACTCCCTTGGAAAGGTTCCCTGTATATTTTTGGGATGCTATGTCAAATGATCCTTGTGACATTTACAGTACTCGAAGAGCCTTAATAGAGCCATGCAGAGCCGGTAAATGCTTCTCTGGGACACTTACTGGAGTTTCACTGTCATCACTGAACTATGACACAGCAACGTGTGAGCCTGATAAGAAGTATGCCTGCTGCAGCAGAAAGAAGAGCACCCTCAAGTTCAATGACAATTTCAGCTAGGATCTCTGCTGCAATATAAATGAAGATAATGATGGTGATTTTCACCATTTCTTCATTATCATTTTGTTAACATTAAAGAAATAAAGCATTAAGCTTGCATGATTTGATTATATAGCTTGGAAGATTACACTAGAAGTATATGGTTAGTGGACAGAATTTAAGAGCTCTTGAATAACTCTGGGTGGCATCTTCTAACATACGTTGGCACAGTGTTGTTGTCATTGAAATCTATGGCAGACTTCCACTGCCTTTTTGTGGGAGCTGAGCTAGCCCAAAGTTGAATATGTTGAGTATGCCCTTCGTTCCTACTGTAAAATCATAGCACCCCATTCCATTCCCATTGAAAGCAATGGCAAAAGTTCCAGTGACTTAAGCAGTGCAAAATCAAGCCCTTAATCAAGTGCAGAACAATGCAGAATCAAGCCTTTATGCAAGATCATAAGTTATAACGAGATAAAACTCACAATACCCTGTAAGTTTTTCAGGTGCAGAGAGAGCTGTGAAGAGGAAGGAAGAAGGGACAGTTTACAAGCAAAGTCTTAATGGTGCTCACAGCAATTCAATAATCAAGAAAAACAGGTCTGGAAGGGACCTCAGGAGAACATCTAGTTCAACTTCCTACTCAAGACTCCCCCCCCACCCCCACCCCCCCCACACACAAGGTTGCCCACATCTTCCTTAAAATGTGGTACCCAAAAGTGGACAGCATGCTTCAGGAATGTGAACAGTGTAGAATGACTAAGTTTACTCAAATCCAAGGTGAGATTTTTGTTTCCCCAATCAGCATGGTGGGGAAAAAAGCCTCATCTTGAATTTGAATACCAGCCTGAAGCACATGGTGGCTCAGCTCCAGCTTTGGCTCTGGCCTTGGGAATGAAGCTGGAGCTGAGCTGCTGCCTGCCCCAGCCAGAATGGTTCATTTGGTGGGGGAGGGGACAAGCAGCTGAGGGGAATGCGGGGGAGACCACAGAGTATAGGGGGGAACTGTAGCTTCCCCCCACAACCCTTGCCTCTTGTGCCTGTGCCTGCCCCCTCCACCTGCCTCCCCCTACCTCCCCCTCCCCATGCTTGCCCAGCTCCACTTGACCCACATCTAGTTGGGGCTGTGGCCGCTTGCCCAATGCCGCACCTGCTGGTCCTGGCACCTCACTCACTTCCCCCATACATCCAGCCAGAGTTTGACACCCCTGGTCTAACACTTTGCACTTGTTGTTGTTAAATTTCATCTGGTTTATTTCAGACCTTTTTTCTAATTTCATAGATTCACAGATGGCAGGGTCGGAAGGGACCTCAATAGATCATCGAGTCTGACCCCCTGCATAGGCAGGGAAGAGGGCTGGGGCTAGATGACTCCTCTTGAAGACCCCCAGGGTAGGGGAGAGCACCACCTCCCTTGGGAGCCCATTCCAGACTTTGGCCACTCTAACCATAAAGAAGTTCTTCCTAATGTCTAGTCTAAATCTGCTCTCTGCTAGCTTGTGGCCATTATTTCTTGTAACCCCCGGGGGCGCCTTGGTGAATAAAACCTCACCAATTCCCTTCTGTGCCCCCGTGATGAACTTATAGGCAGCCACACGCTCCCCTCCCACCCTTCTCTTGCGGAGGCTAAAAAGGTCCAGATTCTCTAGTCTCTCCTCGTAGGGCTTGGTCTGCAGGCCCTTAACCATACGAGTGGCCCTTCTCTGGACCCTCTCCAGGTTATCCGCATCCCTTTTGAAGTGCAGCGCCCAGAATTGCACGCAGTACTCCAACTGCGGTCTGACCAGCGCCTGATAGAGGGGAAGTATCACCTCTTTGGATCTGTTCGTCATGCATCTGCTGATGCACGATAAAGTGCCATTGGCTTTTCTGATGGCTTCGTAACACTGCCGACTCATGTTTATCTTGGAGTCCACTAGGACTCCAAGATCCCTTTCCGATTCTGTGCCACCAAGCAGGTCATTTCCTAGGCAGTAGGTATGCTGGACATTTTTCCTCCCTAGATGCAGCACAGTAATTTATCACTGTCAATTTGATTTTTAATCCTGCCATCTCTGGCAGCTTGGTGTCATCTGCAGCTTTAATAAACATATACTTGGTTCATTAATGGGCAATGTCGGACTCAGGACAGACCCCTGGGGAACCCTACTTTGATGCTGAGCCATTAATGATACCTATATGAGCTCAATTATCCAACCAGTTATGTGCCTATCTATTAGTAATTTCATAGTTTCATAGTGTTTCATAGTGATTAGGGTCAGAAGGGACCTAAACAGATCATCAGGTCCGACCAGGGCAGCAACGAGTGCCAGGGTCATAATACCTCAGCCAAATATCTGTCCAGCCTCCTCTTGAAGACCCCCACGGTAGGAGCCATTTTGTTTTCTTATTGTAAGGCTTTGTTCAGAAGGGCAACATAAATCGCATTAACTAATTAAGTTTAAATGCACTTTTTAAGTTTAAAAAGTTTAATTAAGTTTAAAAGGGTCTGATTCAGCCATTAGGTAGAACTTTGTGACTATGAAGGTGATCAAGCATTGGAACAGGCTCTCTAGAGAAGTTTCCCTGGAAATTTTCAAGCACAGTTTAGACAGACACTTGGCTAGGATAGTTTACTCAGGGATGATCCTACCCTGAGCTGGGGGCTGGGATAGATGCCTTCATGAGATTCCTTCCAACCCTACTTTCCTATGATCCTAATTTATTTTCTTTAGTATGAAACAAATTACTCTCAATTCTATAACATTTCCTATATGAATATCTGATAGTGAAAATGAATTATGTTCAATTAACAGTACAAGATTATGGCAAATGAATGAGTATCAAGATTGATGTATTCTCGCTTGTCCATATATCTTCATTACACTAGTGAGAATATTTAGTACAAGGTTTATGGAATTGGCTGACGGCTCTCATGAGCATTAATGAAGGTTCTCAAATTAACTGCCTATGCATTGGGCTGCTGTGGATATTTTTGTTTTTTTAAGCAGCATGACTCTGAGGTTTGGGTTCTCCCCTTACTCAGATCCATTTTACATAGGTATAAACTCTATTGACTTTAATGAAGTTACTCCTGACTTACAATCATGTAAGTGAGATCAGAACTGGACCCAAGGTTATCCCTACATGTAGGAGTTTTCTCAGCTTAATTGTACTAATTATAGCACAAAGTTATGGTTTTTAAACAGAGTTTGTAAAACTCCTCTTCATATTTATGCTGGGGTACAGGTTTCCGGTAACTCAACCACCGACTCTTCATTGATGCAGACTTCATGCTGGCCAGGTTTAGCACAGCCATAAGACTGCACTACAATGCTAAGAAGCCACATTTGGCCATCAAAGTACAAGTTCATTCTGCAGGTGGTATGAAAATAACCCCCATCAAAGGAAGTGCATAACTTTAACAACACTCACCTGCTACGCAGCACTTTGAGCAGTGATTCTCAACCAGGATGCTGTGACACTCTGGAGTGCCTTGAGATCCTTTCAAGGGTGCAATGAGGTGCCATGCAATGTTAGCACTGTTAGATGTGGAAGCATGATACACAAGTTTAACCCAGAAATTTCAAACAGGAATCCACAGGCTCAAACCATTCTAACCTGCTGTGGCCTTCCTGAGATCTTTGCAACAGGAAAAAAAACACTGTATTTTTTTCCATAATCACAAAAATCATAAAACAAGTGAAAACTAAGAGCTGACATTTTCCAAGGGGAACCTTGAGTCTGAAAATGTGGAGAATCATTGACTTAGAGGCCAATGCCCACACGTCTCCAAAGAAATTCTTATTATGTAATTAGTAGCCCCACCTCTCTCAGCTTCCGGTAGCAACATCTGAAAATTGTGGGGAGTTGCACATGTTGTGTGGATCTACTTGTATTTTTCCAATGAAAGCCTGCGGGATTCTGCAAATTATATGACAGGAGTCCAGCATGGGTTTTTTGGTGTTTTGACAACACTGGAATATTTGGGAGGGTAAATCAAGCTATGCTTTCTAGCTTATATGATTTGTTGTCTTTACTCTCCTTCACACTAGGAGCCAATCTTGAAGTCACACTACCGAAGTGAGAGCTGAGAAGCATACTTCTGCAACACACAAAAGAGTGCACCTTCACACCCCTTCTTGCTTCCTTTGTGTGTGCGGGGGGTTCTGTCTGGTGTGTATCCAGAGAGAGTATATGATCTCCTGGGCTAGGGACAGACATTACACATAACTGGTTAAAGTGATCAGAAGCTAGTTTAAACCTGTAACAGAACAGATGTTCAGTGCACATAAACCAGATTGAAAATGGCTGAAACTGTTTTGAGATAAACCTGGTTGAATGTAGCATCAGACTTAACTAATTTGGGTTTATGCAATGTCTGCCCCAGACCCCTTGCTGGTTTAAGATAAACCAGACACCCCCAGCATCCTGGCATGCTTTCTGAGCTAGGTGGGGCTCTCTGCTCTACAGCTGGGCTGGCCCTTCCCCTCTGCTCCCTGCCTGCAGCTCCGGCACATACTGCAGGCTGCTCCCCCTCTCCCCCTCACCACTCCCTGCAATGGTCCCTGCTGAGTCAACAGGTAGAATCAAAAGGCAGATTCAACAGGTAGCTGGTAATGTCCCTCTGTTGTTTTCTTAATGGGGTGATAAACACTGAGTTAGGGGTTGATAAACACTGTTATCAATTCCCTGCTGAGCTAATCAAAGCATCCTGATGGGGTCTGGCCATGCCCCTTTCAGCTCAGTGCTGTAAAAGGGACAGGAGGGCTGCTCTAGTGCCCCCCAGCTTCTATCCTGAGCCACTGCAGGCATGTGCCTGCATTTCTGGGATATCGGTGCAGTTACAAACCAGTTCAGCCTAGCCAGGTTAGACTAACCTGCAAAGATTGAATCAATTCAGGCACAGGCTTTTTGAATGTCCCTAGCCCTGATGGCAGAGACTGCAATGGTTCCTGGGCCTTTCACAGAGTATGCAAATAGGAGAGAAGACTCCTTGTGCTTTTTCTATCTTGGGCACCCATGAGAAAGCCAGTCTGGCCAATTCATTCACTAACAGTGAGCTTGGTTGTGAATCTTGCCATTACTTCTGACCATGCTTCTTTTGTGGACAACCTCAATCTACTCAGAATGATTCTAAATTACATAATTTGCACAAGCTGTGTCTTCATCCCATGGATATGGAATTATTAAACAAGTCCCTGGAATCACCAGGCTCCTTTATCTTGCAATGGGGGCTTCTCCTTTAACTGCAGATTACAGAGTACAGTAATGCTTCTGCCCATATGTTTAAGAAATTGTGAGATCGGTAAGCCTAACCCATGTTCTTTAAATTAACATCCTATGAACAGTTGTACTGACTTTAAGTTGGCATTATTAGTCTATAAATCGCTTAAGAGGAAAAACTTTGAACATCACCCTGGAGTTCCTCCACATACATGACCTTTTAGGTATTTCCCTATTGTGCTTCAGGGGCCTGATCCTGTAATTCTTATGGCTTGAACAGGATGTGGGAGTACTCAGCTCTTTGCAGTTTTGGCTCTAAATTGGCAAGTGATTGCATGTTTGCTGTGGGAGGCCTTGGACTCTAGACTTTGCTCCTAAAAGTGTTCAAGTCCACCTCTCCATGTAGTTATAAACCATTTTAGATTTTTGCACACAAAGGTAATTACAAATTATGACTGTAGATGAGTATTTTATGAGCACAGTTTAGGCAGCAGCTCTGGAAAATCTGGCGCAATGTTCATATCTATAATAATGGTTGATCAAATCTATGAAGATTATCAATTTGAAAGGCATTATTGATTTAAAAAACACTTTAAAAATCTATCTGAGTGATTGAGTTATTGTCACCACAGGTGTAATATTATCTCAAATACTTGGTTGTCTTTTTAAAAAAAAGTATTGTCAAAGCAGGAAGAATCTTAAAATAAAATGTACTTTGGACCATTGTGATGTTTGGTTACTTATTGTACTTGTCTTGAGCAGTGCAAATAGACAACTTAGTTGTACTGTACTTTTGATTCTAGCTGGCTTTTTGTACTATATTGTTTCTAGTTTTACATTTTATTTACACTAAGTTTCACTTTCTAGATCTCAGGCACTGTTGTGAAAAGTCAGAAATGAAACAATGAAATTATGAAATGTGTCAAACACACACCTGTTTGTACTGCAAATATAACAGAAGCAAATCTATAGCCCTTTAGATTATCCAAATCTATTTTTTTAAATATACAATTTCCGTCTGCTTTCTACATTTCCTTCAGAGAAGCAGCAGTTTGGTTTTGCTGCTGTATTAAATTGAACAGGAAAAATTCACCAGAAAAGCTAAATGTAGTCTCCATCAGGGAGTCATTTATGCAAAATTACTTTGTTTCTCCATGACAAAGAATTACAATTAGACTAAGTCACAACGTGCTGGGCTAAGTACTGCAGCAGTTCTACCACCTGATGCTAAGTTAAATGGGGCAATACTGCTTCTCTTCCCAACATATACCCAGCCTTTTCCCTGGCGAACCTTCTCAGTACTTTCTTGGAAAAGTTTATAAGCAGGA